CTGGCTGTTGTCTGCTGTGTTCCTTAGTGGATCTTGGCTGTGGGTCAGGAGAATGAGAATCTTTGAATGCCATTCAGTTTGTATTTAGATTATAATTTGTACTTGTTTTTTTTTCTATAAATATGTCGTTAATAAAAATTCACCCATGCAGAGCATTTATTAGACAGTGATTTCTAACTTTGTTTTATTCTGGACTGTGGGATAACTATAGTAGAATAAAATGACAGAAGAGAAACATCAGCGTTAAAATTGCAAAGCTTCTTGTTATCAGTTCCTGCCCTTTTTTTATTGTAAACGAGTTTCATAAATGCAATTTAAAAGGAATTTGAAGGTGATGTACAGGCACTAGTGACAGGGGAAGGCAATTTTTCTTCTTTGACTTCCTCCTTTTAGTTTAGGCTATGGAATTCTTTCCACCAATGTATATAGGGAATTCGGACTTAAACGTGGTCCCTGAACAGGGACTTAACAGAAAATGATGACAGAAAATGCATCCAGTTGCTGTATGTCACTACAGTCTAAAGGATTGATCTATGAAATGATACCTAAACTAGTTTCAAACCGCAATCTCAATTTAGCCAAGGATTCCTCAACTATATGGTTCCTCAAAACCTACATTTTGGTCTAGAGAAAAGTTAGCCTGAAGTTAAATCTTTTCGATTGTTGAGCAGATTATTAGCAATTTTTTTTTCCGTCTGTCTCTAAAGCAGGACATTTGGAGTAGCATCCACTTGCTGTGTTGAAAAAAAGTAGTTCAGAAAAACGTTGAGATTTGGTTATTGCACCCATGAAACTGTTTGCCAGAGAACATCAAGGTGGATTTGGGACTATCTATTCCTCACCACAACGCTTCTAATTGCAGTTTTGAAAGTCCTTTCCAGCAAATGATTCATGCTGGTCAGACATCCATTTCAGTACATCAGTTCAGCAGTGTGGTCTGGCTGGCACAGCAGATGCATGTTCATTTTCTCCAGCTGCCTATTGTATAACATTTTGTCATTATTTATGTAAACATTCTATTAACAGTAGGCCTATGTTGGGTCTATATACCACAGGAATCCACTTGCGCTTCTAATGCAGAGCAGATGGGCATAAGCGGTGCAGCATCTTTGTCCTTCATCCAGGCAAGTGTCACCTGGGCAAAATAGAAACAGCAATAATATGTTGAGAGTTTTCTCATTCACTAAAATGTTAAAACCTGGCTCCAGCAAAACGTGGGCAAGATGATAGAAACTTTAAATTTATCTCTAAATTAAACTACAGACCAAGAGAGGAAATGAGTCGAAAGAAATATCATGTACATGTCTTGCCCTAATCACGTAAATCTCCTGCTTGACAGTGTGGCAGTCAGTGGCATCCTGCCTACACCAGAGTCACAAGGCTGTTTGTGTGCACACAAATATAGTAGCTGAGGACTAAGGCGGCTGCTTACTCTGCATCTCGCTGTTTTTTTTTTTGTTTGTTTTCCAAAACGGAATGCAGACAAATATCAAGCATCCTGTACATCTCTCGTGATTACATTTTGATCAACTGAAAGTGCTTTGCCCATTTTGTTTAAAGATTTAAGAGAAAATACTGTTTGTTTGGGGATTTTTTGTGTGTGTGTTTTTTTTTAATTCACTTTCATAGGACTGGCAAAGTACAAATCAGGTATCTCAGAAAATGAGAAAAAAAAGTATGTTTGTTTATCAGCTGCATTCCATAAGCATGGCATATAAAATTACTTTTAAGAAGCAGTCATTCTGTAGAAATGAAATTTTCGAATTCAGTGGCTGCTGCTCTTGATTCCTCAGCAAGCTTGGTTGGGGAGTTGGGTTCTTCGTCCCTTTACTCTTGCTTGTCAGCCTGCAAGCACAACTTGAGATTTAGTATTTGAGATGTGTTTTTTTTCCCCTTTTGTTTATGTATCACAATTTCATTTTAAAACTGTTAATTCTTTACTAAGTAATAGATGAGGCAAACCATAACTTTGTGTATGTATTCTTACTTATGGTTTGCTACAAATTTCTTTTTATAAATATGTAAAAAAAAAAATGCGGCAACCCTCTTTTACTAACAAAGAGCACAACTATTGCTCCAACTGATCCCAATGAATGAATTATTTACAAAGCATAGTATGTGGTTTCCTTCCTTTCTATAAACCATGGATACCCATAAATAGGTATGAAAATCCTAGAAATTGGGCAAAGCATATGTGTTTATTAAATTCTAAGGACTATCTCCATGTTAGTTAAAATATGTTCTCTGTGTTATGATTCAAAATGCTGTTTTGTGGAAGGAAATACAACTGTGCTAAATACATTTTACATTAATAATAATACATTAATTGGGTTCTTTGGTTTTGATGATTGGACTATGGGAATTTTAGGTGAGTTTCCAAGGTAATCATTTTTTAATTCCTTCCTTTTTCTGCATATATAAATGTAGGGGGAATAATACGTATATAAGGAGGGTTTGCAACATACGTGCTCTAAAGTAACATCTGTAAATTCTTGTCTGTACTTCTTAGACATTTACAAAGGCATGCTCTGAGTGATGGCTGTGAAGTTAGTGAATACAGAATCTGATAACTATTCAGGAGCCAGGTAAATCCAGTCAAGTTCTCAGTAAGTTGATCACGTGTGAAGTAGCTAAGATTGTTTCAAAGACTGCTATTCCTTAGCTCTCTAATAGCTTTTGTGCGCAGCAACTGATAGTGCCCTTTTTTTTGGTAATGAATATGGCAATTTTCTGTAAAGAACTTTTAGCTTGTTCTGAAAAGGATTAATAGAGGTCATAAAATCAGTTGTGATAGCTCAAGTAAGAGTTGTTAACATCTGAAAATGCTGCAGCTTTTCAGAAGCCAAATACCTGCCACAAATGCTGTTATTGGGAATGTTAATGAAGCTCAAGGCCTGCACTGGAAGTTCTGCAGGTGTCCTTGCAAAGTATCATTTAGAGCATTTGTGGGGAAAATTGTTATGCTTTGATTTCAGATGAGGATAAAATGGTTTAAAGTTTCTTTCTGTGCCGCTTGCTAGTTAGCATATTTGTGTCCAGCATATTGCGCCACACTAATGTTCAGCAAGTAATGAAGAAAGGAAAGGTGGTGTTATTTAAAAAAAAAATAGGGAAATCCCACTTCAAATAAGTACTTTAAAACCTTGCTTAAACATTGACGTGAAGAGTTTGTCTCTAAGCTCTGACTATTCTATCTTGATCTTTCAAGGCATTTTCACATGAGCCTATTAAATTGTTTCTTTTGTGGAGCTCCACTCATGAGGTCCATAAGATTGTTAGAACAAATGGAAGGGAATCGCATACAAAGGGGTTACTGGGATCCACTCCACAGTGTTTCATTATGTTAAAAATTGCATTCCTCAAATACATTATTGCTATACAATATTAGATATGTACCATGATAATATTGGCCATGTATAGTTTATAATTAATTTCTCACTCTTACATTCAATAACAAACTGAAAAAATGCTGAAGTTTTAATAATTGCCTTTTTGCCTGTCTGAAAAAATAATTCTTTGTCATTATCTTGATCTGACTTTTGTTTATTCCTGGAGTAAAAGAATAATGCCACATTTTTACCAGCAGTGTGTTTGCTACACAGTGTTAAAAAAAAAAAAGGTATGCCTCTGGTTTATTTTGTAGATCTTCTATGTGACACTAAACAAAAGCATAAATTGTACTGGAGCTGATTCTGTTAACAGAAGGCATGTAGGAAATGTTAATTTGATTCCATTTCTAAATCAGACAGCATAAGTAAAACATGGAGAAAAATGGAGGCTTTTTTTTTTTTAGGAAGCAAATAGGTTTAGCAGGTTTAATAGGTTTGTTCTCTTGCAGGAACAAACATGCTACAAGGATAGCACTCATACAGCCACAGGACATTTTGTAATGTGAATCTTGGGAACAGCAGCCTGAAGTCCCGTGTTTGCTAAGACACTGAAGCATGTACTTGACTTAAACATGAGGAGTCTTAGCTATGTGCTTAAATGGTTTTCTTGGTAAGAGTTATGTACATTTTCCAGGGAAGAAATAGGATGTTTGAGTAGCAAGACGGCAGCGAGGAAAATGGGCAGATGTGGGGGTGCAGTGATACGGCTCCGGTTCCAGTTGGAGACAAGAATAGTCTCCTGGCTCGTGACCTCTGTTTCTGAGGGAACTATCTAGCAATACAATTAGCTGGGGAGGCCGGGCCAGTGAAAACGCATGAACTGATAGGCTGGTCCATGTCTGATTAACTCTGTGATCTGCACAAGGCCTCTACAGGCATTGGAAAAAAAGCTTTCAGAATTAAATTCTGTGTTTAAGTCAATTGCAGTAGTTGCTTGTATTCCTTTACATTCACAAAGCTCAGATTTCTGTACTTTTGGTGTTATTCACTAAATTCAACTCCTTGGAACATCCAACTGCCAACAGCAAGATTGTAAAGGGAAACAAAAGAGACTCTAAAATCTGTATGTTACCAGATATTGTTTTACAATTTGTAATTATGGGGGAAAAAAATAATTTAAACAGTGTATTCTAATGGCATGCCACTTTGTGTCTGAGCTCAGTTTGCTTATTTTGTCTGCTGATTGACAGATGCATTTGGTAGCTTCTTGGTTGCTTTAGAATATGAGAGAAAGTTGGGCTGTGTCTCACCCGTGAGACTACTTCTGGCTTGCCCATGTGAGATGCTAAAATTCTTTGTTACTTTTGTCTTCTTACACTTAGGACTTAGGAAATTTGCAATAGCTTGGTAAACTGGGCGTTGTAAACCAGACTGAGTTATAAACCAACATGTCTCAGGGACAGATTCACATTTCCTTGGTGAATCCCTTTTGTACTTCCAAAATTAGAGTTGCCAATCAAAGCAGCAAGTGGTGTATGATTACACGAAGTGGAGCCCCTCTCCCAAAATACTTTCTTTTAGGAAACCAATCAGAGTTGGCTGTGATGTGACGCTGCAGACCTGTCAGCTGAGCTGGGGTATATAAAGTAAAACAACTATGTTAGCACTTCTGAGCAGTCGTGCATTCCCCGCCTCGCCTCGGGTGTAGGGATTGCAAAAAAACAAAACTACACTGTCACGACCGTGTAGTTTTGTTTTTCTGATTAGAGGCTCTACATTTCTCATGCTGGGATTGTCTAAAAAAACATACTCTGGATAAGGACGTCGTTCAAGAAGCTTTCGTTGGGCTTAGCCCACTCTTACGGGCACTTTGAGAGATCAGGTTAGTAGCATTTTTTTGCTACTCTAATTTGTCAGGTGTGATGGTCTTGATGTGATCTATTATATATAAATGTGCATGCATGGCGTATAGGTAGCAGCTTATGGAGTGTTTAAGTTTTCTAAGTTTTTCTAAGTCTGGGGTCTTAAATTTCAGGGGGCAAGTTTTAGTCACATTCGTCTTTTTTTAAAAAAAATATTTTTTTTCTGCCAGGAGACTTGGTGTTAAAGACTGTTTAAAATAAGATTTTTAAAAGTGCATGAAAATCTGCTTATCTTCAAAACTCTTTTCTTTTTGGGAATGTTCAAGGTTATGCTACTCAGAGATAAACTGAGAAGCTCCAAGAATAGCTCTGATAAAATGCATATGGTATCAGCTAAGCACTGATGACTTTTTAAGGGAATCAACTGCTAAGGTATCAATTGCATGGCAGCTCTGGAACACTTGTCTGCTGTCATTCATAGCTAGGAAGGTTATTTTTGGAGCATGACATTTCAGATGCATACCTTCTAATGCTAATTATTCAAAAAGCCATATAAGATCAGATCTTCATCATGAAATTTTGCCTAGACAATAAGTAAACTTTTCCCTGACTCTGTGTTAATTATACTTGATTAGATGAATTCCAATCCCTTCTGGAGTGTTGAAATTGTATAAGTTTTCTTTATATTTATTTGCATTATAAATTTATTTCTGTGTATATTAGTTGATCTTCAACATAGTTATAAGAAGTAGAAATTAGTGAATTATGTGACAGACATTTGTCTTTATCTTTCAGAAAACAAGTTTTGTGATGTGATGAATTGTTGGTCATTTCTCACTAACTGGGGCACGTTTTTTCTCCCCTGAAAGCTGAAAAATACAATAAAAATCTATATCAAGATGGAACAAGTATCAGAAAACCAGTAAAGACGATAAATCCAGCACAAAACCCCAATACAATATCTGTCTCTTCCCTTTTCCACTTTTTACATATAGATTCCAGGCACTGATTTGAATGAGATAAAAAATTATTCACAATATAAGTTATCTCATTTAAATATACCATAAATTTGTCTAGAAGTGAAAAAAAATCCATTTTCTCATTAGTTAGGTCTGGGACTGTCACAAAATCAGACACAAAAGCCAAAGTAAACAACAATAAATATGTGAGTGAAGTAGATTTGAGAAGATTATGAGGTTAATATTTATTTTGAAGACATGATATACTGATATAGGGGAAATTTTTTAATGAGAGGGATTTTAACTTCAATTTAGGAGGTGTAGAACACTATCAAGTTATAAAACGAGCTTTTATAAACCTTTAAATGAATTTGTTTAAATTCAACATCAGTAAATAAATACGGTCATGCAAAATATGAAATAGTTCTGGCAGAGGAGCCTTTCTGGTTGCAGTGTGCTTTTTCCAAGTAGGATCTCATTTCATAGGAAAAGAAGGCAAACTATTTTTCTTTGGGATTTCACATGGATCTGCAGTTGTTCAAGCCATCAGTGTCAGTGGCTACCTTATACCCTAGCTCGCATTTCAAAGGTGGCTGCCTCTTCATATTCAAAATTCCGCTGAGATACTCTCTAAGAAACAGTTGAATTTAATCTGCATCTTTAATGCCACAATGTTTCTGTGTAAAATTCACTACTTAGATTGCCTTTAAAAGGAAGTTTCTTTACTTTTTTAAATTATTATTATTAAAAGCCAAATAGATTGTAGACATTCCTATTTCATTTAATTTACTACTCAATGACGTAGTTGCCTTCCCATGTGAAGGCAGCAAATATTTGTCCTAACAAAACATTTTCAATTCATTACAATGAACTTTTACATGGAGATTATTTTCTCTTTAGACAAAGGAGATTAATGGAGAAATGGAGGCCAGATGACCTGCACAAGGTCATGCAATGAGTCAGGGAGAATATCAGCTGCAGAACTTTGTCTCCTGCTGCATACTTGTGATGCCAAATCAAAGCTTTGCTAAATATAACAGTTTTGCATTTGACTCAGTGGTGTAAGAGAGTAAGTTGCTACACAACTTTGTCAAAACCTACATTCTTCACATCTCAGTGGTCAATGTGATTTAAAGCTGAGACTAATTATGAGTAATAACAAATATTCCTAAACTCTAGTGAGAAAAATGTGCATATTGTAACAGTTTTAAAGGGTTTGACTACTGATATCTAATTATATTTTGTTGCTTTCAGAGTGCCTGTAAAGATGACGACAAAAGCACCAACATTTACACAGCCGTTACAAAGTGTTGTGGCACTGGAGGGTAGTGCCGCAACCTTTGAGGCTCATATTAGTGGTAAGGCTTTGACCTATTCTTGCAAGTATTTTTTTTTCCTTTGATAACATTTGTGCTGTGTAAAATGAATTAAAACGCTTGGCTAGATCATAATCTAAGTGGATTTATGTGTAATCGAAATCCAGTGATCAGTGTTGATATGTGAATATACCCACAGTGTGAGGTGCTGTCAGATTTCCGCAAACACGCTGCATCAAGCTGCTTGCAGTTCCAGGGTTCCCAGGCCTTAGGCGTCATGCTGCCAGCAAAGCGGGTGACCGTGTATGTGCTCGTGTGGATCTCAGGTGCACAGGCAGTAATCTTCTCACATGGTAACAAGACTGAGGAATCAAGGTGCAAAAGGGATGACGTCTTTTGAGTTTCTACCTTCTCTGCAATCCCCTAAATTTTTCTTAGTATCAGAGTTCTTACAGAGGGCTTAAAAGAAAGGGATCTAGATCCCTGTGATCACTGAAAACAGTAACAAGCCCTAGATTGCTAAACAGAAGTGCATAGATGGCAGTGCAGCACTAGGTTAGTATAACTAAGTTGATGCAATTTCAAAATGCGCATTTAAAAAAAAAAAAAGGCATAAATTTGCCAATTTTGCCACAGTGAAAATACCCAATGCTAGAATGTGCTAAATGCCATACAAAACCTGAGATAACTTACCAGAGAAACCAACACCCTGTTCTAAGAGTGCCTCTGACATTGGCAGTCCTGCTGATTGATTTATATTGTCTTACAGGCATTAGCAATATGATGACCCACATACCATAAAACACACTCCTCAGTCTAAAACTGCACAGATGCTCCAGGACAGGTGCAAGCACAAGGTCTATCCATACGTAATGCTCTCTGACATCTATGAGCCACTGCGGGGGATCAGTTGGATCTTTTGGCTTGCAGGGCTTCATACAAGTTGTTTGAATACCTCCATTTCTGTGGTCTAAATCAAGGATAAGGATATTATCTCAGGCTGTATTTTGCTATTTGGCACTATAGTCTTCTGTTAACCATTTTAGTCTTCTTTCATTGTCAATGTGTTTTATGTGAAAATTTTCTTTCAAATGAATCCACCTTGAATCCAGTGACCATTAAAAAGAAATAGATAAATGTATCATCGGAAGCAGCTGGGATGCTGCCATTATGGCTAGGCATGTGATTTCAGCTATTTTCATTTGTGTGATATCATGGAGAACATAGGAAGGGAATTTGATTTCTTCTAAGAGAATATACAGCACTTTTCCTAACTATGTGTACCATATTTGTAGTTTAGCCACAAATTTTATGTGGAGCAGTCTCCTGTTAGCTTTTTCTTTCTACTTTCTGGATTTCTGGGATAGCTCTTCTGGTTCAAAATCATTGCTGAGGATTGACAGATCTGTCAGTGACTTGGTATTTAGTTTTTCTAATGCATAAAAAAGTTGTGAATGATTTATCTCCTGAATTGATTGCATAAATCACTGAGTACAGAGTTTATTTCTGCAATATACTCCATCCTTTTTGTCTGCCACAAATTATGACTTTCAGGCTTTGTTTATCTCTCATAACACTGCTCTTTTATATACAAATCGAGCTGCAGATTCAATCTAAAGAGCCCAATTAATCTAAGAGCACAAAGAAGAGTTTAGCAACCGTGTGAGATATAATTTTGTAGTCTGTAACACTCGAAACGATTAATTCTACCATTGTACTAGAGAGTGAATTAAATGCCACATTACAAAAGCATAGTATCTGATAAAAGTACCCAGTATCCCCACCTGCATTAGAAAGCACAGGCCTATAACCTATGATTCACAGTAATGCCAGCAGCTAGGACTTTATAATGTCCCTCATGAAGGGGACATATGAGGCAGCCCATCTCTGTCAAGGAGATCTGCAGTGCTGCCGGCATTAGTTCTGTGGCTATTCTCACATCCATGCATATGTACAGCACAGCAGTCTCCAAATATTGAATTCATTTATAAAGAAACTAACTTGTACATGTATTTTCATGCATTACCGAATGCGAGGCAGAACTTTGCATACTGTTAAAGCAGTACATAGATTTTATGTAGCTGGGCAGTTTCTGTCATGTCATTCAGCGATACAGAATCATGATATCTCGTGTCATGGCATTCAACTTCAGCAGTGAAGTTGAGGGATTTTGGGTGCATTTTCTGCTGTTTGGCAGCAAAGCTCAAAAAATTCAGCGATCGTTTTGGAACAGAAAAGAGGAATGTCCTAATAATAAATATTCAAGTAATGGCATAATTTGGCATGTATAATACACACAGTTCAGGAAAAAATGTCTGTATTCTTAAGACAGAGCATATTTTTAGTCCCTTGCTCTGTGGTGTGAGGCTAGCAAAATGCAATGAAGTTTATAATTGGAGATTTCATTTAGTCAAGAATTTAGGCTCAGATTTTCAAAGATGGCTTCTAACTTTTGGTCTTTTGAACATGCCAGTTTGAGACATGAAAATAACTTCCAGCTTTTAAAATGTGTGCCTTGTTTGAGCTGCAACACAAATACCTGTATTAACTAATCATCATATGATGCTGCACCAGGAAAAATAAAAATTGTAACAATGTTTCAAAAAATTCATAACTGATGATACAGCTTCTACTTGCCTTACTTAAGCTTTGGTCCATGCAAATATTGAGCACATATTGTGAAAAGTGAAATCAGTGAGAGTAGCTGGAAACCCCTTATTTATGAGAATAAGGCCTAGGATGTCATATTTCCATAAAATTTAATTGTATCAAACCCAGTCAGGGCTGTTTGATAACTGCCATCTATGAAGTTAACAAGGCTTAAATGTGTTTTTCCTCCTGATTTCTAATCTCCTCCACATTTCCTCTTTTGGGGTGTATATATCTGTGTTTTGCTTATATATTAAAAAACAAATTTTAAGCTATGAGTAGTCCATGAAGTAAATAGATATTTGCAAAGATTTTCCTCTCAGAGAAATGCTGTTCTAGGGACAGCAAGGAGACTTTGGCCTGGAACTGTCTACTTATATTACTGCTTCTCCCTGTTTATGTGACCCTCATAAGACCATTATTTGTTTGCCAAAAAGATTTCAGTTGCTTGGTAGAGTCATCTGAGTAGAGCACCGAGAAAATAATTTCCGTTATGAATCTAAAATCACCATTTGAAGCTAAAAAAAAAACAAAAGCTTGTGCGTATATGGTTGGAACCTTTTTGACTAACAGAGCCTTGCACATGGTGCTAACTCTGAAAGAATAATATACTTTAACAACAAAAGCTGATTTCAGTTGACTGCTTTCCACAAAAGTCAAGGAGTAATCACTCCACCACGAAAAAGGAATAAAAAAATCCATAAAAAATCTTGATGTTAATATTGACCACAGTAACCTTTCCAGTTGCTTTATTCCCTAAAATCATTGATTGTTAGCACAACTGTTTAACTTGGCTGGAGGTTCTGATTTTTTTTCTTTGTCTTCAAACTATTTCACTGGATAATGCTGTTAGGAATAAGCAGTATTACTAGCTTAACTAGATAAAATACTAGCCAAAAAAAAAAAGGCACACTTCCCAAAAAGATCCCAGGCTACAAATCTTTGCAAACTTGATTTATTGCTCTGCTAATTTTCAAAGATGATGAACTGTTGTCCACTCAGGTGATCGCCTAAATGCAATAGGAAATGCATCTCTGCCCTTTTTCTATTGTCTGTGTATTTTAATGGTATTTCTTAAAGAAGCTTCTTTTACCACTTTGTTACTGGAAGTGCAATGAGAGCTCTGTGCCAATGCCATCACACCCCAGCATCACTGGAAGTAACTGTGTGCATGCATGAGCAAGTGCTAAGGCAACTCTGGGTTTGCAGTGCGTTAAATTTCCTTTTCTTCTTTTCTCTCTAGGTTTCCCAGTTCCTGAGGTGAGCTGGTATCGGGATGGCCAGGTTCTTTCTGCTGCAACGCTGCCCGGTGTGCAGATCTCGTTTAGTGATGGCCGCGCTAAACTGGTGATCCCCGCCGTGTCGGAAGCGAGCAGCGGAAGGTACACCGTGCAAGCCACCAATGGATCTGGGCAAGCAACTAGTACCGCCGAGCTGCTTGTCACAGGTATCATGTGGCCAAAATGGCACTTCTCTCTGCTCGCAGTCATGAGACAGGGAGCAATAGTAAGAAGTCAAGAATACCAAAAATTTGGATTTAGAGCACACCATCAGCAAAGAATATTCCTTTTCTACTGCAGTCCAGAGTTTAGTATACTCACCAGTAGTTTTCAGTATAGCCCTTTGCAGCTTAAACCCTAACTTACAAAATGGTAAGCATAATTACAAACTCATGCCCTAGCCCTTATGATACTCATGGAATTACTTGAAAAGCCAGACTGACTTACAGAGCCAGAGCCACCCGTGGTTATAACCAACACATTTGCTAATCCTGAAAACTTTTGTAGTAATGGTCATTGAGACTTTACACATATTAATTAAAAAAAAAAAAAAAAAAAGATTCTGTGCTTCGGTAAAATCAACTCTTTGAATGTCTGAGAATGAATTCCCCTGTCATTAGCACATAGAAAAAGACTTTGTGCGCTTATCATAATGAAAATATTTGGTACTTACAGATTTTTTTAAACTGCATTTTAAAATTATTTTTACCTATGCCATTATTTTTATATTTTTGTTTTGTCAATAAAATTGCAGCTGCAACAGCTCCACCAAACTTCTCGCAACGACTACAGAGCATGACTGCAAGACAAGGAAGTCAAGTTCGACTTGACGTGAGAGTGACTGGAATCCCTACACCTGTGGTGAAGTTTTATCGGGATGGAGTAGAAATCCAAAGCTCCCCCGATTTTAAAATTTCCCAAGAAGGAGACCTTTACAGCCTAATCATTGCAGAAGCTTATCCTGAAGACTCCGGGACCTATTCAGTAAATGCCACAAATAACGTGGGACGTGCTACTTCAACAGCCGAATTGCTGATTCAAGGTAATGGAGCTGAAATTGTAAACCATGAAAATAAAAAATCATACATTATTATGATGCTAGGATATGTATCACTACCATCAGTGTTTTATCAATAAGTTCATTTGTAACTTATTTTTCAAGAGTTACTAATTTAGGGTGAAATTAGCCTCTCTCTTGGAAGTTGGCAAAGATATTTTGTCAGAGAATTTCAAGGACTATTTTTCCAAGGTCGTCTTTGAGTTGAGGATAAAGATGACACAACTTCTATTGTTTTTGCTGTTATCTGTCTGTAAATAATGCAGGAAAAACAGATGACTACTTAATTGTTTTTTTCTGTGGTTTATATACGTTTTATATAATTGATATTGACCATTTATTTCTTCTTGGAACTGCATATTGTTTTTTGCCATATGCAATTCTCCTAACCATGTTTTCCCTTCCAAAAGGTGAGGAAGAAGCCGTTCCTGCTAAAAAGACAAAGACAATTGTTTCGACTGCTCAGATTTCACAAACTAGACAGGCCAGAATTGAAAAGGTGTGTTTTTCAAAACTAAAAGAGGTAAGACTTACGCATGGATGATTACTTCTACAGTATGCCGCACGTGTTTTCTTGTTTTCATTGCAGAAGATTGAAGCCCACTTTGATGCCAGATCACTTACAAGTGTTGAAACGGTCTTAGAAGGTGCAGCAGCACAACAGCTCCCACACAAAGCACCTCCACGAATGCCTCCTAGACCAACATCAAAATCGCCAACCCCACCGATAATTGCTGCCAAAGCACAAATGGCACGACAGCAGTCACCATCACCTGTAAGACAATCACCATCACCCGTAAGACATGTCAGAGCACCAACACCCTCACCAGTAAGGTAAACCTCATTCGTCTTTCAAATAAGGTTGCATTTTGAACTGTTTCCACACATAGCACTAATGCAGGAGAGTGAGAACATACGATAAGATTTGAAGAATGCACTGACTTAATACTGGCTGTTAGTTTGTTTTTACTGTAACTTATGATCTGCTGGACTTTTCGCTATTGTAAGAGAGATGCTTGCCTTCTCTTTAAGTTTTCCATCCTGTATGGGAGAAAATCCTTTAGAGAATACATTCTGTTTGATTGCTCCTCACACAGCTGAGGTAATCCTTGAGCTGCCAGGTTCATGATGAGAATTAGAAAACAAAACAGTAGACCAGGTGGCTCTTGATAGTTGTTTTATATGAATAGAGAAAAGAGCAAAAACGCTCTGATGAGCTGGAGACAGAATGGAAGACTCAGTATAAAAAATAGTGAACATATGTTTGTGAATGTGCTGGTAATGACTGCAGAAATGAAGTTTTGTAAGTAGGTAAAGTAAATATTGTTTCGGGGGAAAAAGAGTTTTAGCTCTGCTGTCTTGAGGGTAAGACAGCTATGAAGTGCAGGGCTCACAGCTGTGGTCTGGGAGACACCAATAGGTCTATGCTGAGAGGGAGCAAACCGAAACGAATTTCAAAGATCTTCTCTCTCAGCATCCCAAGCAGCAGTGAAATGAAGCCTCTTGGTACTGAGCACTCAGCAGAACCCCATTTAAATTGACAGGGCTTGGGGCCTTGCTGAATCCTGCCCCATTGAGATTAATTTGCAAGGACTAGAAAAAATATATTGATAGTGGCTAGCTATGATTTACAAGGCACATAGCAGAAAGCCTGATCCAGTAGTGCCATCT